CCGTATTCACAAACGATGCTTACTTAAGTAAAGCAGCAAATCGAACAGCGTTGATAGAGCTCTGTGATTGGTTTGTGTGTTAACCTGTGTGTCCACGCGCACTGTGAGACCTCATAGTAATGTTTGTGAATACAGGCGAATGTGTTTTACATCTACATTGGATTTAAACGTTTGTGTCGCAGATTCTTTTAACCACTGCGCTAAATCTCTCTTCAATTTAATCATGCATAGCTGGAAACATTAAGCTACGAGTATTTACGTTTCAGCAAGTTTCAGTTCGTAGCTGTTTGCAATTCGCAATACGAAAAGTTTCATATCTTTGTTCAGGCAAGTGGAACAGCGAGCTAGGTCATACAAACAACTAATAAGAAAGCAAATCGAAAAAATACGCCTTTTTATACATTATTGAACGTTAACCCTATTTTGGGGTGGCGCTAAAGTACACACGGAATCCCTTCAAGCGTAAGCGCAAAGGGCTCGTTCTTACAGCAATACAGTTTAGCTGAATCCTGCATTACATGGATCCCGCAATACTGAAAAAGATACATAAAATACACAAAAAAGGCCAACAAATAATAAAAAATGACACTAAAAAAAAATCTGCTTTTAAATTCGTGTTTTTTTGGTTATTTGATAAATTTCTCCAAAAAATGCCCCTATAACCGGTGGTTTTTATTACTTTGTATTATTCTCTATCGTATTACCTTCGTAAAACGAAAAAACGCATGTCTCTATCCCTATCACAACGTTTGCAATGATCGTTTGAACTAAGCCACTCCGGGCGCGCCATTCAACGCTTCGTTAACAACGAAACTGAAAATGGCTCTAGATTTGTTATTTTGATAAAGACAAGTTAGATTTCAAATAAAAACAAAATATTTCGAAGTAAAATAATTATTTTAGTTAAAATTAAAATTGTTACTACCTGTAGCGGAGAATAATGTTGTGGCAGGCCTTTGTTCAAACGATCATAGTAAATGTTGTGATAGGGATAGAGACATGCGATTTTTGGTTTTACAAAGATAATACGATAGAGAATAATATAATGTAATAAAAACCACCTGTTATAGGGGCATTTTTTGGAGAAATTTATCAAATAACCAAAAAAACACGAATTTAAAAGCAGATTTTTTTCAAAAAATATCATTTTTTATTATTTTTTGGCATTTTTTGTGTATTTTATGTATTTTTTTAGGATCGCCTGTTATTTAGCATTATAACTGCTTTTATTTCATCAGGATATACCTCTTAGTTTAAAAGTTATTACGTTTTCTTTACAATAAGTAATTGGAAGAAAAAAAAATATATAAAAAAATTTAAAAACATCTCAAAAATTTTTTGACCTCTTTTTAGGGTTCCGTAGCCAAAATGGCAAAAACGGAACCCTTATAGTTTCGTCATGTCCGTCTGTCCGTCTGTCCGTCTGTCCGTCTGTCCGTCTGTCTTTTTTTTCGATGTACATACCCGTGTGGGGTATCAATGGAAAGGTCTTTTAAAATGATATAAAGTTTTCTAAAAAACATTTTTCTTAAAGTGAACGGTTTTTGAGATATCAGCTCTCAAAGTCGTAAAAAGTATGTCCCCCCCCCTCTATTTTTATAACTACGGGGTATAAAATTCTAAAAAAAATAGAGGTGATGCATGCTAATTAACTCTTTCAACGATTTTTGGTTTGATCAAAGTATCTCTTATAGTTTTTGAGATAGGTTGATTAAATTGACATAATAAGTTTTTTGTCGATAAAAATAGGTCTAGTTTCATCTATTTTCATATGTACACTTTAACGTGACTCACACTGTATAGGGGAGACTGGCCCAAAGCGGGCACTCCGCCTAAAGCGGGCACCCCCCTCTAAACTTACACTCATTTGCTCGACTTGTTGTCTTGTCTTGTTAACGTTATCCCCCCGCCCCGCCGCTCCCGCGGAAGTCGTGTGCGCCACCTCCGAGTGACAACACCACGCGTGGACAGCGATAAACGAAATTCGTCAATTTTATTTGAAAAAACAAAGGTATGTTCGTTGTGTTTTAGATTAAACTGAGTGACGTACGTTATTATCAATGTATGCGTAATGTGTTGCACCTACTTTACCGTGTTTTAAGGATATTTCCTTGAAAATTATTTAAAAGGAATTATAGTTTATGTTTTATGAAACGTGTTGTGACGCAAAAGGCAAAGTGAGCAGGGCAAAATGAGCATGCTCACTTTGCAACGGGGCGTCTAAGCTAGCTCAGTCTGACACCCCGCTGTTTAGTACTAANCAAATCAAAACCTAACATTATTGCAAAAGTAATAAATTAACTTGCAAATTAAATTAGAATGGATTGTATTGTATATTGTATGTAACCGTCATATACTTCGACGTTTCCGTTTAATACCTACAACATGTCCGAATAAGTTTAGCGCAAAACTGCCAAGTTGTCTGAAATTGTCGGAAAATATGTTAGCGCACTAAAGAAGCCCCAGTTTATTACTTCTGGTGGTGACCCAGGAAAGTTATTCTAACACTGGTGAGCATATTTTGAACTCAATCGCTCGTGGAATCCATTTTCCCTGAATAATTTTGTTGTGTTTGCGAGCTAATTTTGCGTGAGCCGCTCTTTATGGAGGCCATTACCAGAGAGTTCTTAATAACGGTATTATTACATAATCTCGTTGTAATTTAATTCCAACACGCTTTTCGGGGTGCCCTAAAGCCCTAATGCTCCATTTTTAACACGTGTTGTATGTTAATTCTAATTAACATACGCATACGTTAATTTATAACGGTATTAATTTGTTACATTATTTTTATTAAAAAAACAATAATATCTTAGTTCACAGCAGCATCCTAATCTTTACACAAAAGTGTTCTGACAAACTTGCAATAGATTAAGAACATGATATTCTTAAAGATAAGCAGGACCTACCGTTTGCAAACAACGAGTAAAATTCGATTCGAACTGAACCATACATTGGTTGGATTTCAATATAATTAATTATACCAATTATAGGCTCTTATGCATTTAAGTGTTGTTCCAGCTAGAATAATGACATGAGTTGCTGGACTGGATACTATTATAATCTGCATTGACAATGGCAAGCCTTAGAGCGTTCAGGTTTGCGCATACGCACGCTTCGAAATCTGGTTGCGCGAGAAATCCGAGATTTATACGGCTGCGAACCTTTGCGCTAGATTCCTTGGCCAGTTTCTAAACAATTGTTTATTGCCGTTTGTGTGTGGCCTGTTTTAAAGCGGGTACATGAGGCTGTTGCATTGAAGTTACAAGACGATAGAGAGATAAGCGGATTTATGGATAAGAGCGCGCTTGTCGGCATAATACAGGGTGTAGATAAGGTCTACCTTTGTCTCTACCAAATATCTTGAGATATGAGCTCACGCACGACTTTATACTATCCCTAATAAACGTTTCATGTTCAATTACTATTAAATTAACTCTTCAACGTAACAAAATAATTGTTTCCGTTGTGTTACTTGTTACAACTAAAAAAAGTTCATCAATTAGTATTGTGGTTTTTCAGGTGCATTTATGAACCGGAAAAATTGCAACTAATATTCTGAAAAGAGTGAAAAAACGTGTTTGGTAGTTTTCGTGTCCAAAAGTAATAGAAACATACAAGAGTAAGTTACATGTAGACAAAATTCTGAGAATCACACGTTCCAAATATTTTACATTATGTAGGTTTAGATACAAATGTTTATGTGTCGCTACTTCTGGGTAATAAGTTTATCCTACAATGTCGCCCCATGGTGCCATAAAATTACTTGACGAAGAGTGGACGAATCTCGTGAGGACGTCGTGCAATAAACATAAATTCATTTTGCAAATGACATGTTTTCTTTTTTCTTTATGTTAGTAGCATAATAATATAAACAAATAAATGCTTACTTACTTACTTACTTAGCTTGAAATAGGGTAACTATGGAAAAAGGTTCAGTTCTGATTTTAATCGAAACTTGTCATCATCATTTCAGCCATAGGACGTCCACTGCTGAACATAGACCTCCCCCAACGATTTCCACAATGGCCGGTTGGTGGCTGCCTGTATCCAGCGCCTTCCCGTACCTTTATGAGGTCGTCAGTCCACCTTGTGGATCCTACGCTGCGCTTTCCGGTACGTATCGAAACTTGTAAAAGGTTAAACATAATTATTTAAGATTTCTTTGAAATAAACGACCTATAGTTTGGTAAAATATTATTATGTCTTAACTTTGAAATGGAAAATATCTTAATAAATAAACATTAGGAGAGGGGAACGTGGAAAGCATTAGGGGAGGCCTATGTTCAGCAGTGGACGTCCTATGGCTGAAATGATGATGATGAAATAAACATTTCAGACTAAATAACACGACTCGACTCTAACCAAAGTTTTGTTAATTAAACAAACTAGAAAGGGTAAAACTTTACACTTTTGAGATGAATATTAAAACATGTTACTTTGTCGCTGCTAAAGTTCTGAGGTTCTGACGCGCTAAAAACTTTTACCCCTTTAGCGAGAAAAGCGTGTTGTAATTTGAGTTTTTTTAATTGTTTTTCTTGGATCATTCGGCCATAATCCAGTCAGTTATGGTGGCCTCTATATTGCCACTGCTCTAATAAGGATTTTTTTCATTTGAGTTAATGGACTGTTCTAGTACTTCTAGTTCAGTAATTCAGTAGTCCTAGTCACTATTACTGGTTTCAATTTATTGAGTACAATCGTCTATTTGCCTCTGTAAATTAAAGATGGTCCTACTCCTGCAGGGGAGAACTGGACCTGCCCCCTAGACAAGTGGCAAAACGTGACAGTTGTAATTTTGAAAGGCGCAGTTTTTTTAGGATTCCATACCTCAAAAGGAAAAAATTGAACCCTTAGGATCACTTTGTTTTGTATGAAGTTACTTCACTCCGTGAAGGGATTCGAATTTCAGAGCGATAAAAAAGTACCTCTTGCAATAATTTGAATAGTAATTTGAATTTGAATTTGCCTAGGGCTCAATATGATGAAAGTAACATGCTAAAATAATTAAGAAACTTACGGGTTCTCCAGCATCCTCAAGCAGACTTTGGCCATCGTGCTCAGCGTTTCCGTAGTATTCTCCAGGTCTTGCTGATTATCATTGACGAACTGGCTCGTGGCTTCTGAAAGCACCTTCAGCATCGGCGTGGCTTGTGCGTAGAAGAGCGACATTCTGTTGGCTACGTCAGCGCTTATGTGAGGCTCGTCTCCTGGTGGGAGGTCGGCGTTGATCAGTCCCCCGCGGGACACGCTTCGTCTGTAGTAGCTGAAGTCGTTCTGGATGGCTGGCGTCTTCATCTGGAATGAAGACGTTTGTTATAAGAATTTGATGGCAGTTTCTATTTAAAGGTCAGGAAAACTGTTTAGAGCTTCTGCTGAAATTCAAAGAAGAGATTTGACTTTTATTCTTCAAAGAACGAAATTACCTGTTCTACCTACCTACTACTACTATCTCAATACTAAATCTGATACTACTATTGCTTTTAGAATCTAAAGTTAAGGTCTACTTTAAGACCAAAAGTAAACGAAGAGATTGTTTTAAATTATATTTTATGTGGGACGTTCAGAATGGTAAAGGTTAAAAGCCTGAAGAAACTGTAGAAAAAAAAGGTTTTTTTCATTTGTTTCGTTTCATTTAGGAGTTACAAATATTTCCCCTAACAGAATCAAGCTGACAACGTTTGTGAGATACACACGGTGGTTTTTCCTACAGTAAAAAGCTTTCTCCGAGTCTGGCATTCACCCCCACATCCGTATTACGTTGAAACCTCAAAGGGATTACGTAGGTGCGTCTTAATTTTTCACGAGGGGACAAAATGGCTGTGTTTTCCCTGAAACAAAATCGCATGAGTGGTCGCCATTGTTATGGGAGATCACGTATCGGCGAGCCCTTCCCTTGTACTTGTCGAGGAGACTGATAGAGATAGTGGATTTCCCCTACGCCCCAATTATGGGGGGATACATTACGTATTTACGACATTTCATCCATCCATTAGTCAGCGGATCGTCATTTGTTTGAATCAAGAAAAATATTCTTCATTTGTTTGAATTAAGAAGAGGGACATATTTATTGAAAATCCATGTACAGAAACGGCCCGTAAGGCTGTGCCATCTTATGTAATCGTAAATGCTATTATTCAACAAAAATGTATAGTATTTTAGGCGAGCTACTTAAAATAAAATCGCTCAGTGAACAACAAAAATATTCATCTATCATTATTAACAGTCTATTACTTAGACTGACTGATCTTTTAAACTAATGCCTAGGCGTGAACGTGACCTTAACATAGAAAATTTCTTTATCGCATCTATTGATGAAAAGGCGAGTTTCGATGAGTCAGCTTGACGGAGGTCAGGCCAAGGCCCGCTTTCTATCACAATGCCTTTTGATTCGTACTTCGACGCCTTATAGGACCATTCTGATGACTAATTTAATTGTATTTGATAGCCACCTGGCCTTGTAGTTGTGCAAAGTCAGCTGCTGTTGCCGGTTTGAGTCCTGATGGAGTCTAAATACTTTACAGCTCATGTATTGGGTTTTTGTTTAGGTTGTCTGGATCTGGATGAGAGCTTCCTTTAAATAAGACCGTCAAAATTGTGCCGTTCTTTACTAGGAAGGAGTAATCTATCACGTGCATAATCTTATGATCGAACGTCGAGTCTTTCGTCATCGTAGTGCGCACTCGCTAAAATAATATTTTGTATATCTGAAAGTGTTGTGAATGCTTATACTAAAACGTTTGTTTTTATTTGTATAGAGAACAATAGTGTCTAGACAAACCTAAAAAGGATTTAGGACGCTATTTGGATCAAATATGTAATTGCTCAATAATGAATAATAAATAAATAAAATAAATTATGTATTAAAGTTTTCCAATCCGTTATCTAGTCGTCGTACATGCTTCACAATAATATTTTGCTAATAATAATTGCCAGAAATAATGAGTATTTCTGGCAATTTTCTATTTATCGATAACATTCAAATGTATCCTTCTATTATCTGTATAGGAAAACGTTTGTTGACGACTCAATTTATCCGTCCATTTCTTCGCTTTCCTCATTATTATACAGAGGAATTCAGCCATTTTATTGCAAAACAGCCCTTACAACTGCACAAGATGCTACAGTATTTAGCTTGATGTACTGGACTTTCGCAATCGTTTAATACCAGGATCGATTCAAGCATATCGATCGTGTGAAATATTCAACGCGGGGGAAACACCCTCGTATATTCCTGGAAGAGTTCAAACACTCCAGTATTCCGAATAGAAATGAGGCTTAAATAAACGGGATTAATATTGGAATTGTTGGAATCGAGGGATTTTCCAGAGCGTCCGTTTTGTGTTTGGTATTAGGATTAACTTTATATTTTGATTTGTCTGACGCTTCTTTAATACAACGTGCATTAAGTTTTTATGCATTTATATTTTTCAATGCAATGCATTTATATTTTCAGCGTCAATTAGTGGCTCAATGCTGCTCGTTTAGTAGGTAATACGTCTTGATTGACAGTAGTAGGTTTCAGGTTTGATTCGTGGTTGGGTCCATTCATGTTTCAGAGCTTGGCACTATTTTACAGAAAAACATATCGAAATGTACTCATAGAGCTATGAATAAACAATTGTCTAACTGAAGTGTGTAAAACACGATTTGATTCAATTTTTTGTTTGAATGTTTTGTTTGTTTTCGACAATTAGTCGTACTTACTATAAGTAGTAGAACAATAATAGTAAACAACGTAGGTTTAGGTGTATCTTACGTAGAATTTGATGATCTAATGTCATTCTTCAGTCATCTTGTATATATGTATGTATTTAATAAAAAAAGTATATAAGTAGTATATCCGTTAAGCTAGCACCCATAACACAAGCATTGAGTTGCTTACTTTGGGGCTAGCTGGCGCTGTGTGAAATTGTCCAAAGATTTATTTATTTACTTATTATTATTATTATCTTGAATTTGAAACAATTGGATATTTGTAAACTAATTGTAAAATTCGGTGCTTTAACTGTATTTAAACAAGAGGAAAACTCAAAACAAGACGTGTTAAATTATTTCTTCTGATTAGGTTTTACCTCAATAACGATTATTCGGACTTAGAGGAGATAGAGAGCAATGTAGTGGATCTTTCTGGGTTAGACAGAAATAACAAAAATAGTTTTCCATACATTTTCTTTCCAAACTTTTGTTTATGGAATGATTCTCACCAGAGGACAGTACTGGACAGTCATAAAACTGAATGACCTTTACTGAAGAGGCCAGGTAATCCTCTCAACCACAATACTGGGCGGATATCCACCCGTAACGACGTAATGATACGTTGATGCGACCAAAACGATTGGTTCCGCCGCTAAGCGCACGCGCATGACACGTCAGGGCTGCGATGTTTCCAATTATTTTCCATTGTTATTTAATTATTAATAATTTAGAGTTTCTTATGATTGTATTTGTTGTGGTTGTATAATGAATCCTCGCGTGTTTCTAAGTGATTCACTGTTACAAGTCGACTCTATGCGGTATGCAGAAGCTATCAAAACGGCAGCTGAACCGGAGGTTTAGGCTCTGTGTTCAACTAATCCTCTGTGGGTCATCTGCCGCAATCTCAAATGGTGATGATCAGTCTTGTATTTTACTTGACTTTTAATATAAAAATCGCGTCTTGAGACATGTGTCTCACCTTTAGACCTTTTTTCAAAATAAAAAAGATTTCCTCTCTATTTCTCAGTTCATGTAGTCTTTACTGATTACTTACATCAGGCCTGAACTAGACCAGTTAATCTTTCCTTGGAACTTACTTTGTGTTCGTCAAACTTGAGCACGAACTCCAGGATCTCAGCGAACTGCTTGACGAGCGCCTGCTGCTGCTCCAAGTGTTGAGTCGGACTCATCGCCCCTCCTACGAGCGATCCGAGCAACCGTGGCACCACCTGATGGCGAGAAATGAAGTTTTCATTAAACAAGGAAAAAAATTGAAAAGATTTCCGAATTGATTTTTTTAGGATCCCTTCCTAAAAAAATCAACTACAGGAGTAATAGAAGCGGTTGCTGGCAATTTCCTTTTGAAGATTGTTTACATTTTTATCTTTTGTTACACTTTTTTACGTTTACTTTACACGCTTGCTTTAAAGCTATTATTTCCTTTCTTCTTCGTATGATCTTATTTATTTTAATTTTAGTGTTCACTGTATTCCTGACAAATATCTATCTATCTATATAAATAAAAATGAATTGATGTTCGTTAGTCTGATTAAAACTCGAGAACGGCTGGGCCGATTGAGCTGATTTTGGTTTTAAAATGTTTGTCGTAGTCCAGGGTAGCTCCGGTAGGTCTAAACGGTGAGCAAATACGCGCGCGATATTGTTTTTGTGACAGACAAAATTCCACGCGGGCGAAGCCGCGGGCGGAAAGCTAGTCTATACTTATAATAAATCTGTAGAGAGGTCAATTCTGTACATGAAATATATTTTCAAAATAACTATCAGGGGGTGATTAGTGAACGATACTGACGCCAAAAATGCAATCAGTAAAATTTTTGTCTGTCTGTCCGTCTGTATGTTCCTTATAGAAACAAAAACTACTCGACGGATTTTAACGAAACTTAGTACAATTATTCTTCATACTCTTGGGCAGGTTATAGTATACTTAGGAATTCCCACGGGAACAGGAATTAGCGGGAAAATCCTTTTGTATGAAAAATCTAAACCGCTTACTTAAGTTAGACGCTTGAAATTACTGCAGGCGACACTGTTAAAAACAAATTACGCAGGCAATCGATCCTCCCTATAAATATCAAGAAAACTGTGTTCATATCGCGTAGCCATTGTTTCCAGTATAATGGATCTATTGGTGCAGGGGATAAAGGGTCCCTGAAGGGCAGATCGAAAATATCCGAAGGTTCAAGGCTATTAACAGCATATTTACAACGCAATCTGTTCGCGAACGTGTAGTACACGGATGAGAGCACATCAAGCTAACACTGGAGAATCTTAACTAGTTGTAATACGTTCTATTTTGGATCAAAATGTTTAGTTTGCATAGACTGTACGTCATCGAAGTTTTAAACGCAGGAAATATGATGGCAACATAAATATTCATGGGTTTACGTTCTATGAACGATGATTGACTCAATACGGGTACCAGGAATTTTGCTAGTAGCAATTTGCTTTTTAACACATCATAAGTGAGATTAATTTGGTATGTAACTTTATAAAAAGCGGATGTATGTTTCGGCATTTATTTACTGACTAGCTTTCCGCCCGCGGCTTCGCCCGCGTGGAATTTTGTCTGTCACAGAAAAACTTTATCGCGCGCGTCCCTGTTTCAAAAACCGGGATAAAAACTATCCTATGTTCTTTCCCGGGACTCAAACTATCTCTATGCCAAATTTCATCAAAATCGGTTGCGAGGTTTAAGCGGGAAAGCGTAACAGACAGACAGACAGACAGACAGACAGAGTTACTTTCGCATTTATAATATTAGTTGGGATGCTAAGAATTAATGAAAAAATAAAAAATAGATGTAAATACATTCATTCACTTTCATTAAAATTCTTCCTCATAAACTTTATGAAAGCACGTGTCAATAAAACCCAGAAATTGACATGTGCAGCCGCGCGAAATAAACTGGAAATCTAGTTCGGAGTGGATTTTTCCAATATTCATTGAGGAAAGAAATGGAATCGATCAACCAGAGCCAATCTAGCTGGAATGTAAGCGGTTACAAACAAAATGAATAAACCTAGCTTTGTAAAGTGTACTTCTGCGACATATTTTCAATTTAATTAGGGATAAAGTTTTAGACCTTTAATAAACGTTCTGGTTCAGTGCTGAAAGAGTGAAATGGAATGTAAAATCACTTTTAGCAGGTGTTTGATAAGGCTTGGCTTATTTACACTGCAGGATTGAATAAACCAATTCCTAGATAGCAGATTAAATGCTTTGGATGGAGAGCACGTCAAGCCGATGTGTGTTCAATTGTTTTCCACACACACATTTGAAAAAAGTAATATGGTACGAGTATAGGTAAAAAAAATAATGAGAAAAATATACCACGAAACGTACGAGCATGAATATTTTGCCATCGCAAATATTGACGGTGACATCGTACGATTTTTCAGAGCTGACGTGATGGTATCAAACTACAAGGATATCAGATAACAAGTCAAACAGAAATGTACAATTTCAGAACAATGTTCGTATCGTGCTATGCAGTTGCTAACAACAGACATGTATGATAAATGTCNTAAAAATGTTTGAAACACTGAACATTGTTTTGATGAAAACTATTCTGGGAACATTTTAAGCAATGTCTGTAATCCGAGTGCATGATCTAGACAAAGAAATAAAAGAGTTCTCTACAAAATTCTTCTTTAAACATTTTTATGAATCATGCGTGACCCAAAACTGTATCTATTTTGAATTCGAAAAGCTTTAGTAAACAGAAAGTAAGCAATTTAACTCATTAACGCTAAAATTAAAGACATCCACTGCTGGACAAAGGGCTCCCCCAAGGATTTTCACAACGGCCGGTCCTGCACCGCTTGCAAGATTTGCCAGATTGCGTCGGCAAAGATTTGCCTCGATAGGTATGCACACTATGCATGGTATCTTAATTTTTTTAAAATTCTTATGATATTACAAATATTAAACTATCAAAAGTACCTACTTTTGCTCTTATATTATATGCAAAGTACCTAATGCAAACTCAAACTTTTTCCTAATAAATTAAAACTATTCTGGAAGATGGTAGAATAACTTTGTCAATGTCACAGCCCGCGTGCCGAAAAGTCATCCACGTAGACCGAATTCATCGTCCATCGATCGATCGACACGCTAGGCTCAGGAGACAACCAAAGGTTGTCTGGGGTCAATTAAGAATTAGAGATACTGAACACGGCACGGCAATTAGCAATTACGTGCACCTAGCATTTATCTGTTTAGACGAGCATTTCATATAGGATGAAAGAAGGAATTTGACAATCTCCTGAACAGACAGCATTCAAACTATTCCAGTAGAGTTTTGGCCTGGATTTCCATAGTAAAACAGTACTCCATGAAAACGTATTTTTGAAGCGTTTAAATACTAATTCATATACCGAATTCGCTTACATTTACTACGTACAAAAAAATCAGTGATCTTCAAGTATAGGAATGTAATACTTGAGCAGTGAAAAAAACGCACTCTGATTTCAGTCTGGAAAACTCCTAATGATATGGGTAGGGCCGAGTTTGGGTATGTTCTACTAAGGTCAGGTTTTCTTTACTTCATCTTTTAATTTCTATACACCCTGTATAGAACAGCCGGTCGTACGCGACCTATGACTTACGTATGATAAAACAATGAGACATTCGGACGTCGCATCGGCATCACGGCTGTTGGTGAAAATCGAGGCCAAGTTAACGTTGAACAATGCCAGGAAGCGATTGTTATTTGGACGATTAGCTCCAAGTTGCATCGCGTTTGATCGAGTTTAACGCAATTAATAGGCTAATTAATTTTCTTGATGCGTAGTTAACTAAACCAATTGTCAAATTTTGTTACTATACTAAGGATGAGTTGCACCACCTAAGTTTAACAGTAACTATAACGATAACCGGCGTGTTTTGTATGGAGTTTCTGACGTTTGTTAAAGTTAAAGTAAGATGCAATCCAGCCTAAGACTGGTCTAACCATCGGTTATGGTTATAGTCCTGGTTAAAAAATAAGGTGGTGCGACGCATCCTAAAAATCAAACTACATAACTATCAAGTCATCGAATTTGACAGTTAGTTGTTTTAACTATGGATTACAAATCTGGGCCGGGTAAAGTAAGTGCTGAATGCAACGTGATTTGTTTAAACAGCAGAGTAGACGATTGCTTATCATGCATTTTATCGCCGACTTATCAGAAATCATTATCATTGACTTTGACACGTGAATGAAAATGGAAATGTTAGCTGAAGCGTTCGTGGTTTGCCTTCTAGCAAGGAGTTTTTTAGTTTGGTCTTGCCAGAGTGCAGACGCGTAGGTACGATATTTACGATACGATAATGGATAACATCACCTAGGTAATCAAAGTGGACTTCTTATCCATGGGTGATTAGGACACCAAAGTGTCGCTTGGGACTCCAAGCGACCTTTGATCACCTAGGTGCTCAAACCCAGGTGATCAAAGTGGAATAGACCAAAAATGTAATGAAACATTATAACCTAGTGCTTGTTACGTGATGATGAATACCTATTAAAGATTTATCTTGACGCCATTTTCACAGTTAAATTTTAATCAGTTTCGTTGATACTTCGGGGTCTCAAACAATGAACGAACTTATTATGTAAACAAACAGTAAGTACTTGTGGCTGTATAGCAACATTATTAATTATGATTATTACAAACAAATAGGGACTCATTGCGTTACTTATAGCAGGAAGGAAAATTAGGAGCAGTTGCGCATAACGTACAGTAGCCAGCACATCAGATTATTAGTTTTTGTTGCATAATATCACCTATTGCAACTGCACAAGATGCAAGTCTTTAGTTAGGTGTCGACGTTTCCTGCCCTGAGTAAATAGTAGGGAATTTAGTGCAATGATTTGTATGGAGACCCCTCCACTTTGGTATAGAAGGCTCATTTTTGCAACAGTGGTTCTTTGGGTGCTCCTGAGTGGATTTCCGTCGGTAGACATCGGGAGCCCCCCCTGTGATAGCAGGGGGAGGGGGGGCAAGTTTTCTTCCGCCGCGCTTCACTTTAAGGCCCATATCTTCAAAACTATGGGTATTAGGCCAAGTGTGGTATCATTTTCGGATAATTAAAGGATGGCGAATTCATTTCTAGAACAAACTTTTTGCCTTTTCATACAAAAAAATAGAAATATTGAGTCAAATTCACAAAACCAAAAAATATTTTTTTAAATAAACGTCGTTTACTTTTAAACCACTGGAGATAATCT